CGTTAAAGCGAAGCCTCATGTCCAAATTCCTCTCAAAAGATCCGTATTGAAAGTCAACAAGTAGTCTACGACGTCCTATCGAATGATATGCTATAGGAACGCCAGCAAACACGATCTACTCGCAATGTTCATTTCACCGCGTGGTGAAATGTGTACCTCAAATCACCAAGTACAACGCTAATTGCTTGACATAAGACACGCTACTGCAGACATGTCTTTCACAATATGACTTTCTTAGTTTAGTTTCTCCACCGGCGAGTTATTTCTGACCAGAAAGGTGTGTATTGACGTTTAACCGACGGAAGGAATGCAAATATTTGCCCTGAATATAAAAGCTTATTAACAAGGGCACTGAGATCCATCATTGAAAATGACAAGCAATTAACAACTTAAACATGGTCGTATATAACAAACTGCCAAGTCGCCTTATGATATAGCGGAAGCCCCCTGGCTTCGAAACAGACATACAGTCGACAAATGAGACTAGATAACGATGTGTATCTATTAAAAGCAAAACGTCAATTATTGACCGTAAACATTTCATTTATATTTAGAAACCGTCATTGCCTTTTTCTTCTCAAGTTCATGAATTTTGCTAAAGATTTTATAGAAAGAGATTAGCAGTGTTGAGACTATTTAGATTATTTTCCTTACATTTACAATATTAAAAAAATAATCCTCTACAAGCACATGTACATATAATTAGTTGTCACTCAAACCGTATAATTTACTCCAACCAGTTGCCATAATCGAGAAACTTTTAAACCCTACTTGTTATTTAACAATGCCAGTAATGGCTAATTACTTCTCAACCGATCACCCGATTAAACTAATATTTGCAGTCGAATTTTCTCTTGTAAAGTCAACACACATTTCCTCTCATCACTTAGCAAACAATAATCTATTGAACAATCTCAAAAAAAATCTTTGAAAAAATCTAACTCAAATTGTGCTTTTAGTTTTCAAACATTAAACGCACACCGTTTCTTGGTGGCCATAATTGATCAGTTGAGTTTGTACCTGACCCAACAATACATGTTTCGTGGCGACTCCTTATTACACCACGGTCGCTCCTGAATGGACCGTGTTTGTCTTGTTATTATAGTGTTTAGGCGGTGTTTCTTGCCCCATTATTCTCAAGCCTTTATTCTCGTTCCCCTTTCTCTTTGTTACAAGGTTTCCGAGGCACAGCTACTATTTTCCTTCCATACTTGGCAATTTGGCAGTTTATTTCAGCGTGGCAAATTATTTCAGACACGCAAACTCGGCTAATAAGCCCTTCTAGGTTCGACCCAGCTCCGGTGTTAAACAAAAGGCTTGAGATTGTTCAACAAGATTAGTATATCCCATGACGGTAGCTTGGCCGCGGTTAGGTTCTGGGAGATGGCAATTGCCATTAACACATTTCCTTTATAAATAGCATAGGTTGTTAGGATAATGTGTTCACATTCGATTTGACTACGAACACTGTTTTTGTGTTCACGGCTACAAATCGTAGCTATCTCTGAAAAATATAACCTTGTTTCAAGCATAAATAACGTCGTGAAAATATTAAGTATCATTTCATGTGGCGTTGGGCAAAGGTAAGATCGTTTATTTTCAAAGTCGCTAAGCAAACGAATTTTGTTCTGAGAACACCCTGCTTAAGAATCAATAATTAATAGGTCGCGTCAGACTAACTGTTTGTGTTTTTAAAGTTACGTAAGTTAGTATCTACAGACAAAATACTTTGATATACGCAGTGCCTATAACAATACTATGTGTGTACCAACAGGGGTCGACATTCGAGTTGATCCCTAATAACAGTTTAATAACGTTACTTTAGGGGTGCGAATGTAGATACGACCATACCTCAAGGCGAGGGCCGTTGCTCAGTCCATCAACCACTGGGTTGTCTGGTTCAAACTGGATTGATTAGGGATCGTGTGATATATTGTAATACTTCTTCCCGCCAGGGGTGGTCGGGTAGCCTAGTGGTTTAAGCGTTCGCTCGTCACGCCGAACACCCGGGTTCGATTCCCCACGTGGGTACAGTGTGTGAAGCCAATTTCTGGTGTCCCCCGCCGTGATATTGCTGGAATATTGCTAAAAGCGGCGTAAAACCATACTCACTTAGTCTTCCAACCAAACAAAGCACAATTACAGGCCGTGTGATATACAGTAATATTGCTGCCTAGCAAACAGCACACATCGTTAAATATGACGGGAAATTCATAATATGTGATATTGCTTTGCCGAAAGTCTTTCCAAAGTGGGCTAAATATTTCACCGTTATATTTCAGATTATCACAACTTGGAACTCCTGAAAGCTGGCATCGGTTTGACGGAGAAGAGCACGTGTTACAACATCATTGATTCGGCTCAGAAAAAGTAAAAGTGACATATATAATCTGGGAAATGTGGGTAAAAACTCCCTCTGTTCCAGAGCACAATGATATAGCGTATTGTTTCATCGTCTTCCAGTCTTCTCATGGCCGCAAGGCTGACATTTTTACGCTAATAAATTTTTCAAGGAAACAGCTGATAAGAAATCGCCGCAGAAATAATTCTAAAAGGTTATGGGGTACGAAAATGCCTTGCAACATGCAATTGTTCATGGAAATATATCGGGTTTTTTTTAGCAGTTGTATAATGAGCTATTTAAGTCTGAATGCTTAAACTGTTTACCACATATATTGTCCATATTTACGTTAGCACAACATGTGATTGATGGGAGGATATATTTAAATATATACATATCTAAGTCGCGGAATATTATCACTACAAAGTCCTATTTCACCAGCACCGACTTACACGCTGTGTAGTATAATATTCATATTTTAGACGCTTATATTTTATGTATATTGACTGAACACGTGTTTCATCCCTTGCCACCATTTTGGACGAACATTTTGCATCGATACAGAACTAGTGCTAATCCATCTAAAAGCCCTAGTCAGCTTAGAGATAGAATACAGCTATATTTATACTAAAATCGATATCTAGAAGGGAAGTTGTGTTTTAGACATGAACAACATCGGGCGAGTTGACAGGTCGCACTTGCTTGTGAAATGTACATCGTTCATACTTCATCTCAATCAGCGTCACATCCACATCGTTGATCGAGACGTTAACTTGTGGACAAACTTAATAGAAATTTGTCATTTATGCAATAACTATATCTTATCTTACACACCTTTATGCTAAATAGACTCAGACATAACCCACACAAAAGAGGTATTGTTTTGAATAAAAAACGTGGAATTACACATCGTATTATTGTTGATAAGGAAATCGAAATAATCAAAAGAGAACTTGCATCATATTTTAAGTTATATACCACATGAGGTCGACTCGGAGAGGATAGAAATATACTTACATATGCCTGCAAAACACCATCACAACTTACAAGTGTTTACTTTCGGTTTTACATGGTTTTTTGGTTTTTTTTGTTGTTTTTTTTTGGGGGGGGGGAGGTATTTAACTCTGTTTTGTTTAGAATATTCAGTATATTTCGTTCTGAAACAAACTATATCAGGCTTAAAGGACAGTGTGTATTAATGTTAGAATATAGCAGAGTTGAATAGCAGTGAGGAAAATAACTTAAAATATACGTAAGCTATTTAGAAACAATTATTTAAACAACTTCATTATATGCCCCGTGGCAGTCACAGGTAGAATCAATAGAGATGTTCCGATCAATACCAGAACGGAGTCAGACAAGAAATAGGCACACGTTTCAAACAATCGATCATGATCGGAAGTGTGGAGACAGAAATAGACATGGTTTAAACTGGAAACTGATGACATTTTTCGTTTTGACATGCATTGCTGTTGAAACAGACAAGGTGAAAACAAGCCCTTGTGTCGGGAAGCCATCGTCACTGTGAAAAGGGCGAACTTGACACTGGTGCAAACTAGGCTTAAACAATACAGAATGGCTGTTATATGTATGGTGTGTATTATCCCAGGCTTATCAGCGGTGGCCATCTCGGAGGGAGCGAGTTTCTGGAGTGGGGTAGGGGGGTGGGTTCTATCTCGTTGGCCCCTTCTTCAAACCGCTGCAGTCAGAATAAAGCGCAAGGATAGAACAAGGTTTTACACAGGCGATATAAAGACGGGAGTCGATACGAGCACGTTCCCGATCCCCAAAACAAACACGGTTCTAAACTCTTTAATGTCCTTCGCGTCCCTAGGCTAAAAGCCTGTCTGACTTTATGTCGTCCTTTGTGAAACGGCACGACTCTCTGTTATACATACAGCACATTACGCAGAGAAATTGATAGGACGGGTTATCGTAAACAAAGCAAGGTGTTTCGGAATATGCGCTCTGACTCCAGACCCCCGGGCTTGAAGGGAGGGGACGTGCACGTGATGGCCTTGTTTCACCCCCAATATCACCCCTGGTCGCGGGTGGGGTCAACACCTATCTTGACCGTGTTCACACTTATGATGTGTTCGTACCCATGTAGGTCACCTCACAGACAACGTGACTAACCCGGGATTATGTGTGGTGTCAATTCCCGAAATCTACAACCCCATAAATCAAAATGACAACGTTCAATCCATCGCCCGTGACAATGACAAGTCCGGTTTCTAACGAAAACACCTGTATTTTGCGCTTCCTGTGTTATTCAAATAGGAATTTATAGATGAATTAGCTTCTGTGGAGTCTTGCCATTAAGCTGGAATCAATAGCACCATGTACAGGAACATCATTCCAAACACATCTGATAGCCCCGTTTCTCTGCAAGGACGACGCTCACAGAACCTTATCATCAACTGTATACCTCGCTCGCTTGTCAAGCCTCTTCACTCAATTGATGAAGTCACCTCATCAAAATCTAATTCCTAGCAACTCATTTAAACGTTACTGTAAACTAACAAAGACCGACCAGGCTGCAGAACACGTCGCTGAATTAACAACCCCGATAGTGTGGCCCGTCTTTGCAAACAACACAAGTCAAGCAGAGATTGCCGTGCACCATCACACACGTCTATTAAATAGAAACTGTACTCACCTTTGCACACAACGTAGAGTAAACTTCCATGGAGAAATAGAATCAAGATCTTCCTCCACACATTCATCGCTGCAGTAGTCGCTCACAACACTGATGCTGTTCAACGTTGCCGGTGTGTTGATATCGAACGTCGGCTAACTCCGTGAGTCGAGCGAAGCCTTCCTCCGTCTTACGCCGGTAAAGCAAGCGCCGTTCCAACCCGTGACTGTGGCTTGACTGAACGGGCGATCTCTCTCGCTAGGCCCGTAAAGCTCAAATCGGCAACCTGATACCACAGCCATTATGATTTGCAAGCAAGTTTTCTGGGGTGCTATTGGTTGGCAACAAACCTCCCGTGGAAAGGGAGTTGTTTACATATTTAATGAGTTTACGGAAAAATATGTATCTGGCATGCTTGAGTTGCGGCGCCCCTTATTGAAGAGAAAGGAATATAATGGCCTCTGTTACGCGTATTGTGCTGTTGTTTGCAGCGGAAAACACATGTTTGTCAAGCTGTAAAAGAGCGTGTAGACAGTATGATTTGTTTGTTTTGAGCTGGAAAATTAAACATTTTGTTCAACTAAAACAAACACTTAATGTATGATATTTGTTTTCGGTTTGTCATCACACAACCTAGGTCTGAGGTCAAGCAGCAAGACCAAAACGGCGTTAATCATCGTCAGTACATTCATCATGGATGAAACAACCGTAGCTTGTGAGTGGTCACCGCACTGCTGCTTTGTACTGGGTAGACTGGTGTACTGTTGAACAAAGTACATGGATGTTGTCTGTTGTCTGTCAGTCCTCAACAAGTACAAAATCGTAAATCGTATAAACTGTACTTTAGATGATCATTTCTAAATCATCATCATCATCATCATCATCATCATCATCATCAATGTATAGTTTTATTCGTCATATCAAAAAAGGAATGATGGTGAAGACGCTGCTGCTGATGATAATGATGATGATCATCAACATCATTATCCTCGACACCGTCGTCGTCGTCACCACCATCATCAAAACCAGCGGCATCATCAACATCACAGACATCATGATCGACATCATTATCGTCACCACCATTGTCATCATGACTACCAATATCATCAGAAGCATCACAATCATCATCATTAACATCATCTCAATCATCATCGTCGTATTTTCTGTAACTACATTCCCACGACCTCAACATTGGCATCAACATCAGCAGGAAAAGCAGCTTCGCCATTAACACTTTGAGATGGGATATACATTTTTTGCCTTTGAAAGATAAACTGCGTTTACTGTCGCTTCTTTTACTAGAGCTACAACAGCTAAAACTGATACAACGGTTACTACAACTGCTACTACTTCTTCAACTAGAGCTACAACAGCTAAAACTGATACAACGGTTACTACAACTGCTACTACTTCTTCAACTAGAGCTACAACAGCTAAAACTGATACAACGGTTACTACAACTGCTACTACTTCTTCAACTAGAGCTACAACAGCTAAAACTAAAACAACGGTTACTACAATTGCTACTACTTCTTCAACTAGAGCTACAACAGCTAAAACTGATACAACGGTTACTACAACTGCTACTACTTCTTAAACTAGAGCTACAACAGCTAAACTGATACAACAGTTACTACAACTGCTACTACTTCTTCAACTAGAGCTACAACAGCTAAAACTGATACAACGGTTACTACAACTGCTACTACTTCTTCAACTAGAGCTACAACAGCTAAAACTGATACAACGGTTACTACAACTGCTACTACTTCTTCAACTAGAGCTACAACAGCTAAACTGATACAACGGTTACTACAACTGCTACTACTTCTTCAACTAAAGCTACAACAGCTAAAACTGATACAACAGTTACTACAACTGCTACTACTTCTTCAACTAGAGCTACAACAGCTAAACTGATACAACGGTTACTACAACTGCTACTACTTCTTCAACTAGAGCTACAACAGCTAAAACTGATACAACGGTTACTACAACTGCTACTACTTCTTCAACTAGAGCTACAACAGCTAAAACTGATACAACGGTTACTACAACTGCTACTACTTCTTCAACTAGAGCTACAACAGCTAAAACCGATACAACGGTTACTACAACTGCTACTACTTCTTCAACTAGAGCTACAACAGCTAAAACTGATACAACGGTTACAACAACTGCTACTACTTCTTCAACTAGAGCTACAACAGTTCAAACTGATACAACGGTTACAACAACTGCTACTACTTCTTCAACTAGAGCTACAACAGCTAAAACTAATACAACGGTTACTACAACTGCTACTACTTCTTCAACTAGAGCTACATCAACTAAAACTGATACAACGGTTACTACAACTGCTACTACTTCTTCAACTAGAGCTACAACAGCTAGAACTGATACAACGGTTACTACAACTGCTACTACTTCTTCAACTAGAGCTACAACAGCTAAAACTGATACAACGGTTACTACAACTGCTACTACTTCTTCAACTAGAGCTACAACAGCTAAAACTGATACAAAAGCTACTGCTGCTACAACTAATTCACCAGCTACTACTACTAATACAGCTACTGCGTCTACAACTACTAAAGCTACTACAGCTGCTACTACTACATATACTACTGCTACTACTACTGCTACTAGTATTACTACATCTACTGCTACTTCCATTACTACTACTACTACTACTGCTGCTGCTACTGCTACTACTACTACATCTACTACCACTACAACTGCTACTACTAATACTACTGCTACTTCTACTACTACTACTACTACTACTACATATCCTCCTCCTCCTACTACTACTACTACTGCTACTGCTTTTTCTACTACTACTTCTACTACTACTACTACTACGACTTCTACTGCCAGTACTACTACTACTACTGCTACTTCTACTACTACACTATAACGAGGTCAGCAACAACTACCACTACAACTGCACCTACTGCTCTTTCTTCGAGTCAAATTCAACACCGACTATTGCTAATACGACTCTACTACGCCGATGTCTACATCACGTTTCCAAGTGTTACTCAATATTATCACAATAATGACAATGTAATCATAAATACCAAAATTGTGAAGAGAAATGTTTCAAGAAGAAAAAGCAAACTTTCCGAAACAAGATGAAAAGTTGGATACTCTGTAAATTCACTACCATACTAGCGTCCCCCATTTTGCCATGCTTTAAGCGACTGCGCTCGCTCTGGATACAGTTTGCATTACACAGTAAGATACAGACTGAATGATCACTCGAGGAGAAAGAAACCACGCACCCATGAATAAAACATCCACCAAATACAAATATATTTTCCCTTTGTCCATGGCGCAATTTATCAACTGTCAGACATTAAATGAGAGTTATTCGACTTCGGAGGAAGACAGTCCTATATTTATAATGTACCACAATAGGCCAATAAAATATCTTATTCGGCGAATTTCCTGACATGGTCTGTCTCAGTCAGCCTTACCGTATCGCGGGTTAACCCTTCAGCTGCCGAGTAGCTAGTATTGTTTTTATGGCTGTGTGGTGTTAGAGAAAAGGAAGATTTCTTGCAATTGCTGGAAATTATAATGATGCTTCAGGCTTGTGAAAAAAACAATTCTCTGCCACCAAACCTACATTGTTGCAAGATGTTGTTTTTTTAAAAAGAAGATATTTAGGCTCATATAGTTTCAATTTAAAAAAATCTGGTTTTACAGTTGTAGCTAGAAAAAACAACATCTACTCGCCATATAGAATTTGAGGATGAAGATATGACTGAGATATAGTGTTGCAAAATGAAAAATACATATCATGTTTATAATTATGATTATAGATAAGTGGCTTTGTCTGTGGCGATGGTTGCAATGGCAACGATTACGACAACGATATCAGACGGGAACACACAGTGACTGATCTAGACTACCAACTACCAAGGTGCCTTATTCTGAGAGTGTTGGTTCGAATCCCGAATGGGCTTCCACCCCGGAAAGATATAATTAGATTTTGTACTTGACTAATAAAATGTAATCATAAAATATAACCTGTTACTGTTAGATTCTTATAATATGACAACTACGATGAAAACAAAGCAAACAATGACGAAAGTGACGATGGCAATTACACCGTCATTATCGACGGCTGCTTATGATGATGGCGATGGTGATGATGATGATGATGATGATGATGATTATGATGAAGAAGATGTCTATAAAGGTGATGATGGAGAAATGATGAAGGAGTGATGATGAGTATGTTTATGATGATGATGGTGATGATGATTATGTTCATGACGATGATGGTGATGTGATTATGATGGTGATGGAGATGATGATTATTTTTATGACGGTGATGATGGTTATGTTTATGACGATGATATGGTGATGTGATCATGACTGTGACAGTGATGATGATCATGTTTATGAAGATGATGCAGATAATGATGATGATGGTGATATGGGTGATGATTATGTTTATGACGGCGGCGGTGATGGTGATTATGTTTTTGTTTATGACGGTGATGAAGATTATGTTTTTGACGGTGACGGTGATGGTGATTATGTTTTTGACGATGACGGTGATGGTGATTATGTTTTTGTTTATGACGGTGATGGTGATTATGTTTTTGACGATGACGGTGATGGTGATTATGTTTTTGTTTATGACGGTGATGAAGATTATGTTTTTGACGGTGACGGTGATGGTGATTATGTTTTTGACGGTGACGGTGATGATTATATTGATTAAGTTGATGTTTATTATGGCCACGATGGTAATAATGATGATAGTAATAATAACAGTGGTGATACTGATCCTCAAGAAGCAGGTGATGGTTGTTGTGGTAATAACGATGACATGAAGATGATGGTGTGCAGTGACGATGTTTGATGACGATGACGATGGTAATTATGATGGTGACGGTGATGAAAATGGTATGGTAATATTATGTTGATGTGACGGTGACTATTTTCATGAGCTCTATTTTGGCCTGTCTTTCTGGTTCAGTGATCACTTGATTGTCTGGTTTGTTTACAGGCTGACACCGCATGGTAGGAGTACTACTGACCCGTGAAGATTCCGGGGTAGAATAGGTCTTCAGCAACCCATGCTTGTCGTAAAAGGCGACTAACGGGATCGGGTGGTCAGGCTCGCTGACTTGGTTGATGCATGTCATCGATCCCAATGGCGTGGATCGATGCTCATGATATTTATCACTGGATTGTCTGGTTCAGACTCGATTATTTACAGACCGCCGTCATATAGCTGGAATATTGCTGAGTGCGACGTTAAACAACAAACCAACCAACCTATT